AGCTCAGTGTGCACAGGCCCAGGGCAGAAATCAGGTTCCCCCAGCCTGGCCCCACTCCTTCCCTGAGAAAGCCTCCCCAGCCAGTTTGCAATGCACGTCCCCAGCAGTGCTGCCAGCGTGGCTGCTTGGTGCAGGGGGTGAGCTGGAGCCTGGCACGGTGCTCCTCAAGCTGGTGTCAGATGGGCCAGGATGCAGAACCCTGCGGTGCCCAGGGGGTCAGCAGCTCCTGCTGCCCCAACCTGGCCCTGCTCCACACAGTGACTTTGGGACCAGGGATTTTATCCACAGCGCAGGGCACGGAGCAGTGCTGGGAAACCACTGCGTGCCTCCTGGCAGCTCTGGCACAGACCTGACCCGTGGCATGTGCACCTGGCCACTGCACAGGGGGGTACTGGGCTCTGCCACTGTGTCCTCCGTGCTGGGAGGGAGGAGGTGATTGCTTCTGTCTTGCTCCCTGGTCTCTCCCTGCTGCAGCCCCAGGTTTCCTGCAGTGACTTTCCAAGTGGACTGGAGTGCTAGTCCCCATCCCTCAGAGCATTTTGCCCCATTTTCTGCTGTGAAATCTCCCGTGGAAGATTTATTGCTGATGGTTTCAAAATGTTTTTGACACAGAAGCCAAGTCTGTTGCATTCCTTCACGCTGGCCAAAGCCACTCTCAGTTGAGGACCCTGGAATGAGCAGTTAGGGAATATGTTTTGCAAGAGTAACTCCATTTCTTTGCAAGCTTCTGTTTTGTTGGGGTGTTCTGTAGGTCAGGAGCTCACACTATCCCCTTTGAATGCAGCGAGGCTGGGCTGGGAGGGATGGGGAGGACCAGCCCTGGGCAAGGATGTGCCTGTGGCAGGGCTGACCCCACAGCATTTGCACTGCTGCTCTCACGGGCCATTCGTGCCCGTATCCCAGGGAGGAAGGTTTGCTGGGACCCCGTGGCTCCCTGGGCTCTGCATGGGCAGGGGGGACAGGATGCTGCCTGTAAACCTCGCTGTTTGTGGGCAGGGCTTGGCTCAGGACATGACTCTCACAGCAGCAAACGGTTTATGGAAACGGTTCAAGGATCTTGACCTGTCTGCTCACGAGGGAAATAAGTGATGCATTCCACTGGCTGCTGATCACTAACACCTTGCTGCCTACTCCCATCATGGGCAGCTGCCTGCTCCCATCATGGGCAGCTGCCTGCTCCCATCGTGGGCAGCTGCCTGTTCAGGTGTGGCAGGTGGTAGCTGAGCACCCTGTGCTGCTGCCACAAAGCTGCATGCTCATGCAACAGCGGTTGTGGATGATGAAGTTGTGGTGCCCACAGTGCTGCCAGTGACAACAGGGTGTGGCTGGGGTTGAGGGAACAGCCAAGGGCTGGTATCCAGTACCATGGGATGAGTGGCATGTTTGGCTCCGTCCCCTCAGCCGGGGTCTGATGGTGCAGGAGGGATTAACACAGCAGAGTGGTGCTGGGAGGAGGAATGCCATCCCTATTTGCAAAGGTTCTTTAGCCCCACAGCAGAGACCAGAGGAATATGGCTGGCAGCCAGGAGCACCCCCAGCCTGGCCGTCTGTGGCTGCGGGGAACTCCAGGAATGGCTTGGAAAGTTTTCCATTATGTGAAGTCCTGGTTAAATTAGCCTGGCAAATGAGGAGGGGGTAGGCAGCCTGTCCTCTGCTCCATGCACCCACTCCACACTCCTGGGCGCCCCTGGCATGGTCTGGTGGTGATTCACAGGGAGATGGCAGAGAGGTGGGAGCAGTATCAACCCTGGGCACAGCAGCTCTGCAGGGCTGTCACACCGATAATGGAGCAAAGGCTGCAGTTCAGTTGGAGCAGATGAGCTGTTGTATTGGGTGACCAGAGGAGCTGGGGCTGCAGGATTCCCCTGAGTGAGGGGACAGTGTGGGGCAGGGGACAGCGCTGTTGCTGGAGCACCCTGTGCTCCAAGTGCCCTCAGAGCCTGTTTTTCCCTTTTATGTAAGTTATTCCAAACATGTTTGTAACAACCCCCCCCGGTGATGCACCTTTGGCAAAAGTGGTTTTGAGTCCAAAGATCAGTGCTGGGACAGTGACCTGCCCACAGCAAACAAGACTCAGCAGACTATAAAACCCCAGCGGCACAGCGGAGCGTGGGGCAGCCGGAGCCGAGCCGAGGGCAGGGGCAGCAGAGGAGGATGGAGGCCAACATGAACCTCCTGCACGACCTGGGCGTCCGGACAACGCACTGGCTGCAGCAGCACTTCCAGGGCTCCCAGGACTTGTTCCTCTTCATCTCCTATGCTGCTGACCTCAGGAACGCTTTTTTTGTCCTCTTCCCCATCTGGTTCCACTTCAGTGAGGCAGTGGGCATCAGACTCATCTGGGTGGCTGTGATCGGAGACTGGCTCAACCTTGTCTTCAAGTGGTGAGTGGCCCTGAGCCACAGCTCCCTCTGAGTGTGTTGGCACAGCTGGACTAATGCGGGCCAGCTGGGTGCTCTCAGCCCCAATGCTGGAGTAGAACAAAGGACAGAGTTCAGCTCCCAGCTGGGCAGTGACAATGGTCGCTCCTTCCCAAGCTGTGCAGCAACAGCTCCCCCCTTCTCAGAGCCAGGCAGAGAGATGGAGCCTTCTACAAACAGACTCTGCTTATCAGCCAGAACTGTGGTGCTGAGCAGGGGCTGCACAGAGTCCCTCAGCACAGGAGGTTGCATTGACTTGCACCCAGGAAGTTCTTGCTCTTCCCCTTCAGGGCCGGGGATGGGGACATGGACAGGCAGTGTCAGCTGTCAGAACCAAGCGACCAGCTGTATGCTGTGTTTGTCAGGATGCCCTCAACCACTTGTGGGTCCTTTGCTTCTTCCAGCTCCCAGGACAGAGCTGAAGCTGCAGCTGTGCCCAAAACCTCCTCAGACCCCATTCTCCTTTCTTTTCAGGATCCTCTTTGGAGAGAGACCATACTGGTGGGTCCACGACACGGACTATTACAACAACACCTCTGCCCCGGAGATCCAGCAGTTCCCGCTCACCTGCGAGACTGGCCCTGGTAGGGTCCCACAGCCCTGGTAGGGTGCCCCAGCTGGGGCAACGGGCACTTGCCCAGGGTGACCTGCACATGCAGGGAGGGGGGTGCTGGCCTGGGCAGGGTCATGGTTGGCAGCCCACCAGTGGCACATGGTCCTGGCCAGCTCTTGAGGGAGGGCCATTACTGCTGTGCTTCCAGGCACACCAGCTGTGCCCGCAGTGGGGGGAGGCAGGGAAGTCCCTGTACAGAGCAGACCTTGACCCTTGGTGAAGATGTGGTGGTTCAGCACAAACCCTGCCTGTGCTCAGCTCTGGCTCACACCAGGTCTGACCCGGGGCTCTCTTTTTGCCCAGGGAGCCCGTCTGGCCATGCCATGGGTGCAGCAGGTGTGTACTACGTCATGGTGGTGGCCCTCCTCTCCGCTGCTGGTGGGAAGAAGCAGTCAAGGACATTCGGATACTGGTAAGCTGTGCACCAGAACAACCTGGGCAGAGTGCTGGGCAGAGGCAGCTCCAGCACTGATTGGCACAGCCAAGCCCATCAAGGCACAAGGCTGTGGACAGATAGACAGGCTGTGGCACCCCAAGTGGGGTCTGCATGAGGATGGGCTTGGCAGAGAGCCAGGCATTGTTTAAGGTGTGGGATGGCAGTGCCACAAGCAGTGCAAGCTGGCTCTGGCACCAACGTAGCCACCTGCCCCTCGCAGGGTGCTGTGGATGGTGCTTTGGACGGGGTTCTGGGCAGTTCAGGTCTGCGTCTGCCTGTCCCGAGTCTTCATTGCCGCTCACTTCCCCCACCAAGTCATCGCAGGCGTTTTCTCAGGTAAGTGCATCAGACCCCCATGCCCTTCCCTGCGGCTCTTCCATGCTGGACTGCAGTACCTTGAGCACTGACCAGTGCTCCTGCTTTGTTACCGGCAGGGATGGCTGTGGCCAAGACCTTTCAGCATGTCCGCTGCATCTACCACGCCAGCCTCCATCGGTACACGGGCATCACCTTATTCCTCTTCAGCTTCACCATTGGTTTCTACCTGCTGCTGCGGGTGCTTGGCGTGGACCTGCTCTGGACACTGGAGAAGGCACAGAGGTGGTGCAGCCACCCTGAGTGGGTCCACATCGACACCACCCCCTTTGCCAGCCTCCTCCGTAACCTGGGCATCCTCTTTGGGCTGGGGCTGGCTGTCAACTCCCACATGTACAAGAAGAGCTGCCAGGGGAAGCAGGGCCAGCAGCTGCCCTTCCGCCTGGGCTGTGTCACTGCCTCCCTCCTCATCCTCCACATCTTTGATGCCTTCAAGCCACCCTCCCACATGCAGCTGCTCTTCTACGCCCTCTCCTTCTGCAAGAGTGCAGCTGTGCCACTGGCTACTGTCAGCCTCATCCCCTACTGCCTCTCCCACCTCATGGCCACACAGGACAAGAAGGCTGCCTAGGGCATCCCTGCAGGTAATTGTGCCCAGGCAAGTGGCCACCCTAGCTCTGGTCTCAGGGGCACCCACTAGCCCTGGTGCACCCCAGCCACTGTGTGCTTCCTGCTGATTTTGCACTGGGAGTGGACTGTGGAGGCTGGGCTGGCGGCGCTGCCGGGTGGCTCCCACCACATAGACCCACAGTCTCAGTCGTGCCTTTGCTGATGGCACAGCGAGCCTTGCACTCCCAGGACTCTCCTGCTGCCCCTCCTGCACCCACGGGTGGAGGTCGTCTGCCTGGGACCCAGCAGCAGTGGGGAGATCCTGCACTCCCTCTGCAGCTCATGGGGACACGTCAGCTCCGCACTGCAGGGCTGGGGACAGCACCACCGGGAGCAGGGTGCTCACCCCTGGGTGCCTGGGGTCTGCTGGCGAGGCAGCTCTGTGACAGGAACGGGCAGACACTGTGACATGGAGATAAAGTGCCAGCACGAGGGACCCTTCAGCCCTGGGGCATTCGGTGTTCGCTGCTGTGATGCAGTGTGGGGTGAGCGTACACCTGTGTGTGTACATACAGACATGTATCTATACACACATGACGTGGGGGTGTGGCTGTGCACAGGAGGTATTTTATTAAAGCTGAAGGTGTGTTTAGCTGGTGAGTTCGAGTGTTCTGCTGGCCTGTGCTGTGGGATGCAGGATCAGCTCCTGGGTGCAGGGCTGTGGCATGGACTGTGGATGGTGGAGGAAGGACGTCTGTCCTGAGTGATGAGAAACACCAACACCTGCAAAACACATTCAAATCACTGGGAAGGGCACTGCCAGGTGTCCCAGGTCTTTGCCATTCACCCCTGGCTGCAGTCAGACACAGAGCACAGCAGGTGGGGCAAGGGATGAGATGCTTTCTGTGCTGTTTATCCAAAGCTTCTGGGTGCACCTTGTGGCAAGAACAGGGACAAACTCGTGTCACCTTGCTGCTTACAGAAACAAGCTCAGCTTTGGGACTGAGTGACTCGGTTGGGGCTGTGCTGAACTCCCAGGGTGTGGGGACAGAGCTGGCATTTGGCTGTGCTGTGGGGTTGGGGTGGGGGTGGTCAGTGCTGGCACAGCCCCCAGCCACCACGAGCCCCAACGCCAGCTCTGCCCGGGTGCAGGAAGCGGCTGCATCAGCAGGGGGTCACAGCAGCTCGGCTCTCCCAGCCCCGGCATCCCGACCTCCCTGGTATCAGCATCCTGGCCCCCCGTGGTGGTCCCATGCTCCCTCCAGCTTCAAGCCATGCAGGCTGTACAGCCTGGCAATTAACTCCTTCACTACACATCCTCGCTCAACCTGAGATAGTCTAAAATAGATATGGAAGTCCAGATACTTTCTTCCTGCCAGACTCTGTGTGTGCACTTGCAGAATCTCCCCCAAACAACCAGTGCCTGCAGCACTGACCCTACACCCAGCTCCAGTTTCTGTGGTGTTCCCTGTGTGCTGACACTGCCCCAACAGCTCAGCCATGGGCCATGGCCTGTGGCCCTACAGCAGCCACATGTGGGAACATCACATGCTGGGGTTCACCATCCCTTTGTTCATGAAAAATAAACTTCCTTAGGATGGAGGTTTCTTTTATTCTATTTCTCTGTTTATTACCAACATCTAAAGTGAACCTGTCATGTCAATTCTAGCAAAAAGGAGGGAAAAAACCCCCTCAAATTACCTGTTGTGCCCCACTGTGGCTCCACAGCACCATTTAGTTCCTCCAGCTGAGACTGCAGCAGCTTCAGGGCCTGCCTGGGCTAGAAAGGCAAGCTTAGGGAACACTGGGAACAGGGCTGCCTGATCCCAAGGGACTTTGTAGCTGCAGCAGCCCAAGAAACTCTCAATGTTCAAAAAAGGACCAATAACAACTGCACTTCAACAGGGGAAAGGACTGGTACGTGGTAGGGAACAACCTCCTGCCTGTGGACCACCCACTCTCCCTTCTGGGTGCTCTCTGTCCCTGTGCAGGCCAAGGTGTCAGGGAGGACCAGTGGCCTCTTGCTGAGTGTTACTGCCAAAGCAACTGCTCCTCAGCAACTGGTGCAAAGCAAAAGGCCCCAATGTACCGCCAGCTGGAGGCCCCTCTTGGTTTTAGTAACCTTACAAAGTGGTAAACTAAGGACTACTTTAACCCCTGTACCATTTGGCTGGGGAAATGAAAGAGCCCTTGCAGCAAAGCACGGATTGCAGATCCCCTCCCCATTTCTGTGAGCACCAAACCAGCCTGCACAGAGCATGTGCACACCAGCTTTTGGGTTCAGGTCTTTATTCTCCAGGAGAGAAGTTAGTGGGGTCTGTGCAAAACAGGGAAGGAAGCCCTACTTTGAGAATTATTTCTTACACTTCAGGGCTTCGATGGCTGATGAATTCCTGGAGCAGAGCTTCCACTTCTCCTCGACGGCTCATCTTGGCTGCCTTGCCCTGGAAGCGGTCACGCTTTCCAGCTCCTTTCCCTCCCAGCAGCTCTGCCACCCTGCAGCAACAACACCACAGGCTGCAGCCCAACCTGCTCCTGACAGCAAACATGGATCTGTGCCCGGATTACACTGTGCAGCTGCTCAGTCTGCAACGTCAGAATTCATTTTAAACAAACCACAAAACACGTTACCTGGGACCTAAATTCTCAACTGCTTCAACAGGTCCAGCTAAAAGGAAGAGTCCTGCTTCTTTTTCATCCCCCACAGTCAGGAATAGCAGAGTTTCCTGTGGACAGAGGTGGATGCTGCTGTAGATTAACTACTGCCTTCCTTGTTCAGGGAAAGGACAGACACTGGCTACAGGACTGAAACACCACACTGACAATTCAGCAGTTTATGTGTGTTACTGAGACAGAGATTTCTTAAAAAAAGCAAAAGGAAAGTGGCTTCTGAACCTTTGGTTCTGTCATATGTTGTTGGGACAACATGGTACTGGGGTATCCTGAATTAAAAGAATTGCCAATACAGTTGGCAGTTGGACTGGATGAGTGTTGTAGGTTCCTTCCAACTGAAACAGGCTACTCTTTCTATTCTATTCCTATCCTATCCCATCCCATCCCATCCTTTCCACTGAGGCTTGGTGCAGCTTTGGGGGTCAGGCTCTTCCCCAGTCCTCTGAATTCTCACTGTTGAGGATTTCCCCGCAGACTGAGGCTGCTGGGGACAGGTAACCTCAGGTAACTGTCAAAAGGAACCAGACCTGCAGCTCATGACTGCAGCAGGAGCAGCAGCCTGACCAGCCCCTGTCTGTGTATAGCTCAGGTGGAAAACCAGTGGTGTCAGGTCAGTCTTCATCACCAACTCACCTCTGTCCCAATCTCATTAGCGATGATGTTCATAAATTCAGAATCACCCTCTTTCCTGTATGGATGGGTAAAAAAAACACTTCAAAAGGAAGGAAAAAAACCCTCTAGAATAAAAAAATCTCAATTAGAAACCAATGGCCTGATCAGAGGTTTTGGCCTCTTGCACTTAGTATAGAGATTAGATTTTGTCCATATATCTAAATCCTTGTTGGGCATTCCTGTGGACATGTTAGGAATTACTTAAGTGTTTATCTTTAAGAAATAGAGCTCCCTAGTTTTATTTGAAAATATCAAGGGCAGAGAGAAATTAGATGGATGCAAAACCAGAAGTCAGTGACTGAATTACCAACAGATTCCTTCAATTACAGAGCTTTGCAGCAGGCTGAGGCAGTTTAGTATTTTGTTCACCTCGTTTATACTTTTCCTTGAGAAAACAAGCCTGAATGGGTGTGAGAAAGGCAACTGCCATAATACACGTGAGATACTGTTGGCCCCTTTTCCCTGAGCTCCCCCATACCTGTGTAACACAAACAGCTGCCTTGGAGCAGGTTTGCTCTTGAAGTCCCGAGCTATCAAAACAGCAATGTCTCTAAGCAGGTTCAGGTTATTCTGAAAGAAAAGCAAATGAACTGTACTGCAGCTGGAGAAGTCAGTGTGAATACAGTTGTGTTCCTAGAGGTTAGAGCACTTTTCATAATATCCACAAAAACTGAGGCCTACGATTCAATTCCCAGTTACCACAACTAAAGCTCAGGTCTGCATGAAGCAGCCACAACCCACTTTTCCAAGCCATTCTCATACCTTCTGGAGCAGTTTCACAGAGCTCTGCAGTCTTTTCACAGCCTCTACATGCTCACCTGGTCCATTTCTGAAAGAACAGGGAGAATTTAGATCATTGGATCATCATGAAGGACAAAGGAAGGATTTCCTAAAGGAGCAAAAGCAGATCATACACAGCCCCAGGAGCTGTACCCTGAAGCTTATGTGGTATCTGTCAGGAGAAAGAGTAAAGATGAAATAACAGAAGTGGAAAGGTTATTACTTGAGCAGGGAGGTTAGAGCCTTCTCGGTACTGTGACTTTGTTCAACTGATTTCAGCACTCTGTTTCCCACCAAGAAAATCAAGTTGGTTTTGTTCTTTTTCCCTTTTTCCACACCAAGGAGTTTAATAACCTTAAAAAGAAGATCACGCTGGTCAGAACAGCATTTTAGTTATATACACAGATGGTCATTTCCTACCAGACTATGCCTTGTGGTGAATATTGACTCTCTGCCAGTGAAAATAAATTGATTAAAATCAATTTTAATTGATTAATCCACACATTGCTCTGTGTGGAGTGTGGCTCCCAGAGGCAGCTCGGCTGTGACCACCCACCTGCAGGTCACTCAGGTTGGAGACATGAGTCCCACAGCACATGTTGGAGTCAATGCCTTCGATGTCCACAACACGCACTGGCCCCACGTGGTCGTCGGGCAGCCCCCGGCTCCTCACCTGGCAGAGGAGAACAGTGCCAAACAAGGTGACATCCATGCTCAGTTACTCTGGTCCCACGAATACCATCAGTTCTCTCCCATCACTTACTCTTTCAATTTCAGGGTCACCTGCAGCCAGTTCCCTCACTGTCACAGGGACCCTGTCCCGGATTTTCTCATTCACGCTCCTCTCCAGGGCCTTGACCTGCTCTGCTGTCACTGAGGGGGTGTCCAGCTCAATGAGGCTTCGCTGACGGCCCAGCTCCCTGCACCAGGGAAGAACGTCTGCTGCTGTAGCTCAGACCATCCAGGAGGTCCCTTTGTGCAGCACCAGCATCCCACTGCCAGGAATGTGGTGACTGAAACAAAACACACTTCTCTCCCTGCTTTGTTCAGAGCACCAGGTGCAAACCAAACGCTTGAGGAGGACAAGATAGAGCAAACACTTTGTACAGCTTCTCTCCAGGTCAGCCACCTCTCCCAGGCAGGACCTCTGAACTTGAATTAAATGTCCAAACTCCTTTTGGTGTATTAATGTTCAGGCTCTGTAGAGCCCAGCACGGTGGCACGTACCAAACGAGGTAATACTGGCGTCAAAAGGAACCCTTATCCTGCTCACCATGAAGTTGTCTTGAATCCAAACATCTGTTCTGCAATGGCAGTGATGAGATGCTGTCCTGGAAGAGATATGCAAGCACCAGCTCTGAGTGCCACTGGTATTTTCAATCACACTGTGTATGTCCCACTGACATTCCCCACAACAGGCGAGCACTGGGTGCTGCAGGGCTCCTACCGGCGCCCAGAGGAGCAGTGGAGACAGCCCTGCCCTCAGGGGTTGAACTTTTTCCTTCCAAACCTGCTTTCGGTGGGTTTGTTTACAAGCCAAGGAGAGCTCGCAGGGGGCACTTGGTGTCCCAAGTGGCGCCGGGGACAGACTGTGCACGCAGAGCTGCCGAGCATCCCCCTGCCCTGACCGGGGCGGGGACACGCTGGGCACTGACCACCCCCTCCCCCGGTAACCGGGGTGTTACCGGGCACCCCCCCCCCGGTACCGGCACGGACCTGAATGCTGCTGCATGTGGTCGAAGCGGCGCTCCCAGTCCAGCGACAGCAGCACCTCGGCGCCGGGCTCCAGCGCGGCCGGCACGAAGTGCACGGCCTCGGGTCCCCGCCGGGTCACGCGCAGCACCGGCACGTCCCCGATGAGGCCGCGATCGTCCGGCTGCGGACACGAGGAGTCAGCGCCGCCGGGCCCGGCCCGGCCCCCGCCCGGCCCGGCCCGGCCCGGCCCGTACCTGCCCGCCGCCCTCGGGGAAGAGGATGGTGTCCTCCAGCACCACCTGGAACCCGCGCACCGGCTCCCCGCCGCCCTCGGGCCGCAGCTCCGCCGCCTGGCACGACACCACCCTGGTGGCGAACTGCGACAGACACGGCGGCACCGTAAGGGTCAGGGTTAGGCTGAGGGGCCTGCCCCGCGCCCCGCGCCGGTACCTGCCGGGCCCAGCTGTCCCGCTGGCACCGGAACACCATCGCGACCGCCCGGGGACGGACACGGCACAAGTGGCGGCAGCTGCAGCGCCGGGAGCGGGCGGGGCCTGCGGGGTGACGCGCGGGCGCGCTCCCGGCGGCGGCGCGCGCCCGCTGCCGGCGGGGAAGGACCGCTCCCGGGCGGGGAAGGACGGCTCTCCCGTGGGGACGGACGGCTCCCGGGCACAGCAGACAACTGCGGCAGTACACGTTTATTGCCCCATGCCCCGCGCGGGTAACCGGGCACGGCAGACCGGACTGCTTCTGCCGCCCGGGGTCGGGTGCGCTGCACAAGCGGGCACAAGCTGAGGCAGCTCTGCTCTCTCGGAAAACCCTCTCCGCGCTGCCTGTCCATCGGTGCGTGCTACTGGCGCGTTGGGAGGCTCCTGCAGCCGCGGCATCCCCGGGAGCCCGGACTTCAGTCGTCCTGTGGGAGAAGTGGGAGATGCCAGGGACTGGGCCAGCCCTGCACCGGCTGGCAGCCCCTGGCAGCCCGGGGAGCGTGTTTGCACTGGCTCTGGGACAGGCTGCCCGAGGGGAGCAGCAGGAGCTGCTGCTGCTGTCCTGGAGCCAGGAGAGGTCAGAGCCCGGGCTCTGCTCAGCAGGGTGGTGGGAAGTAGCTGGCAGGTGGTACTTACATCCAGGTCATCCATGGCTGGTGGGGGGCCTTTGTCTGTCACCCTCTCCAGCATCTGGATGGGAAACAAACAGCTGGCTCCCCCTCATCCCAAGCACCTACCTGACATGCCCCTGGACCCTGAAGCCGGCAGCCCAGCTCACCTCTGCGTACTGCTCCACCATGGCCCTCTCCACCTCCTCATCACCTTCCCAGTCTCGCCAGTTGTCAAAGTCCACAGAGAGCCAAGCTGGCTGTGGGCACAGAAAGCATCCCCTGAAGGGGGGAGCAGCACCGCAGGGACTCACAGCCCATGGGCTGCTCCTGCACAGGCGAGGGGCCTGGGAAGAGGCAGGAAGCGGGGATGTCCCTTTGCCTGCAGGCACCGGTCCTGACCCTGCCTGTGTCGAGGAAAAGAGGTGCTGCGTCCTTCCTGGATTGCACTAATTTGTGGACTAGCAGTGATTGTCAGGTTGGGTTTTTTGGGAGCTCTGTCTTGGGGTCCCCCGTGGGGCCCTCTGTGTCTGTCCCAGGGGCAGGTTGGTCCCTGGGAGCTGTGAGGTGCTGCATGGGGACAGGACGTGCTGAGGCTGGTCCTGGCTGCCAGGCACCACACACACCTTGATGTTCTCCTTGGTGATGCGTGGCCAGGCCACTTTCTCCTTCCACTTCCTCATAAAGCATGTGATGGACCGGTCAGAGCGCTTCTCCCGTGAGTCCTGCCAAGAGATCAGAGTGCCTCACCTCAGTGTCTGTCAGACTCCTCTCTGCAGAGCTAGACAGGGTTATAAAGCTCAGCCCTGCATAGACTGAGGGGGATAAAGAACCACGGAGACACATTGTTTCTGGCTCAAGCCAGCACCCGAAGTACCAGCCCTGGGCAGGGTCAGGGCTCTCAGGTGTGTGCTCACCTCACTGAAGCTCTTGGGACACAGGTAGGATTCAACGCTAAGCAGCATTGCTCAAGACTACACAGGCTGGCTCTGACTCTGAGCCTTATAGAGGCTGGTGGAGAACAGTTTGTTGGGGGGAAGCCTCACCTTAGAGTTGACTCTGGCATATAGGTTGATCTCGTTGTAGAACTCCACACCGTCTGCATTTTTGCAACTGCCAAAACACCGTAACAGCCTGGCTTAGGAGATGGTTGAGGCCATGCGTGCACTGCTCTCTCAGAGGCCTCCCTATCCTCCAAACAACGCTCAGTTCAGGCCATGTCGCCAGTCAGCAGGGCAGTGGCTGCTCACCTGAACACCAGCCGCTCGTCCTCGATGACGACCTTCACGTCTGTGCTGTCCTCGACACAAAACTCCAGGTACACGTACCGCGGGCGGTCGTACCACAGTGTCTTTGCAGGTTGCCTTGGGGAAGAGCAGACCAGAGGGTGTCACCAGCGGACATTCCCCCGGTGCCCAACAGCGCTCTGCAGGGCCCGCAGGGGGCACAGGGGACAGGGGCGAGGAAGGGGCTTCGGACGCGGGCCCTGCCTGGGTCGAGCCCCGGGGCTGGCAGGGGGAGCCGGGCGGGTTCCGGCCGGGAGGTGGGCGGTGGGCACGCGGCGCTCCCCTCGCCCGCCCCTCGACCGGCTGGCGGTGGGGCCCGGCCGACCCTGTTCCAGCTCCCCCACGCCGGTCCCGGTTCGCAGGGTCCTGCCCGGCGGTGCGCCGGCCGGGGACCGGGCGCCGTGCAGGCGCTGCCTGTCCCGTCCGACCGCGCTCACCTCGCCATGGCCGTGCCGACTCCGCCCCGCGCTATTTTGGGTAGGGGGCGCGGGGCCGGGAGCGGGGCCGGCCGGGGCGGGCACAGCGCGGACAACCCCTGGCCTGGCCCCGGGGCCCCCGCGGCCGCCCCACCGGGCCGCGAGGGGGCGCGCTGGCCCCGCCCATTGCCCCGCCCCGCGCCGGCAAGATGGCGGCGGTGTCACGGCGCCGGTAGCGGCGGCCATGGAGGCGGAGGGCGGCCCGCTGGGCCCCGGCGAGCGCTGGGCGCCCGTGGGCGCCGTGTCGGCGGAGGAGGAAGAGGAGGCAGAGGAGGAAGAGGACGAGGACGAAGTGGCAGGCGGCGGGTCGCCGCAGTCGGTGCCGCGGCTGCGGGCCGAGCGGCGCCGGCTGCACGGAGCGCTGCTGGCGCTCGCCTCGCACTTCGCTCAGGTGCAGTTCCGGCTGCGGCAGGTGGCCCGGGCCGGCCCGGCCGAGCAGCAGCGCCTGCTCCGCGACCTCGAGGACTTCGCCTTCCGCGGCTGCCCCGCGCCGCTGCCCCACGGGCTCGGCGCCGCCCCGGTGAGTGCCCGCGGCCGGGCGGAGCGGGGCCTTGTTTGGGCACAGAGGGCACCGGCGCCGCGGGTACCGGCGTCCCGTGGCTCCTGGCCCCGCGCTGCCCGCCCCGGCATCTCTACGTGAGCGTGTCCCGGCTGAAGCCCGTTAGCGCTGCCGGCGGGGGCTCAGCAGCTGCGCTGCCCGCAGTGCTGGTGTTTGCACAGAAATCGGTGCCAGACGCACTCAGGGCCCTGCTGACTCGGTGCCAGCTCGCAGGGACGTGCCCTAAAGCCCTGAGTGGTGTGTCACCGCTCCACTCCCACCTACGGCACAGGTGAGTCAGAGGATCTGTGATATGAACATGTTATTTACATAGACGTTATTTGGCCACTTTCTTCCTGGATCCCAGCCTTGTGGGATGGGGTGTGGGTGCAGGAGGCCTGGAGAAGCACTTTCCTTCCCCTGTCAGATGAGGTGATGTGGCTGTCACCTCGTCTTGGTGCTTAGACACATTTCTTTCTCAGGCTGGTTTGCAGTGCTCGCTAGTGAAGTGCATGAGCTGCAGGAAACATTCCTCATGTCATGATCCTGTTCTCTGGGGCCTGACTGTGACAATAAGCCTTCAATTTGATTTACTGGTAACTTTTTTCAGGGTGAGCAAGAGAAGCAGGAACAAATTGAGGTCCAGAAGGAGAAGCACAGAGAGCTGATCCTGCAGCTCAAGACACAGCTGGATGACCTGGAGACCTTTGCTTACCAAGAGGGCAGCTATGACTCTTTGCCACAGTCTGTGGTTATGGAAAGGCAACGGGTAAGGCTCACAAAACCTCCTGCATTTCCTAGCCCTTGTGAGGGATTACAGACTGTAGGTGGTTATCAATCTGTATTTCTTGCTAGCAGCTGAAATAATGTCAGGAGTTTTTCTACACATGTGAACCTGTCCTGTGTCTTTTGCAATTACTTCTGTGCAGCAGAGGCATCCTGTTTCCAAGCGAGTGTCTGGGAAAGGAGTATCCTGGGCAGCAGTGCCACATGGTGAAATCATGCTGCTCACTTGTATTTTGCAGATGATTATAAATGAGTTGATAAAGAAGCTGGACATGGACTTGAGTGAAGATATTGCAACGCTCTCTCCAGAGGAACTGCGGCAGCGGGTGGATGCTGCCATAGCACAGATTGTAAATCCAGCCAGGGTGAAGGAGCAGCTGGTGGAACAACTGAAGACCCAGATAAGGGACCTCGAAATGTTCATCAACTTCATTCAGGGTCAGTGATGAGGTTTTGGATGAGCAGACTGAATTGCTGTGTAATTCCCTGACACAGTGATGAGGAGGGAGGTCACAGATGTTGGAAACAACTCCTGGGTCACAGGAAAGTACAAATCTCTCTAAACTGATGGTGAGGGAAAGGATAGAGTGGCAAAAGAGGTCCAGAGGGGTCAGAGGAATGTTGACCTTAATACTGTATGCACAGCTGAAATTCATAAATGTGAAATAATGGTGTGAAATCCTTGTTGTAGATGAAGTTGGAAGCTCTGGTAAGGCAGAAGATGGACACTGTGACTGCGGGGGATCCTACAAACCCAGCACCCAAACTTCTGGGAACAGAGGTGGGCACCACTGGGCTTGGCGCTGCCAGCACAGTTCTGTCTCTCCCTCCCTGGAGCTTTGACAGGCACAAACCAGTCACACTCTGCTTTTTCCTGGCAGTTGGTCTCTGTACTTCCCCAGTCCCACTGCTTAGGGCCTGTGTCCAGTTCCTTTACCCTCCCTTTATGTGATCCTCATAGTAGTCACAGGGCCTGAACGTGTGGCAGAGAGGGTGGGATTGGTACTCAGCAGGGGTCAGGAAGAGAAGGGACTGCTGACAGTGCAAAACGCAGACAGACTGAGCAGCCCTGTCTGATGCACTCTAATTCATGCTCTTCAAGCTCTGAACTCTGTAAGCAGGTACTGTGAGCTGGGGGGATCCAGTGTTCTTCAGAGTTTGAGACTTCCCCACTTATCCCACGAACTTACACTAAGTAGTGTAGCGTGAGGGATCTGCTGCTAGTCAGAATGTTGGCCTGATGGAATTTGCAGACATTTACACTCCCTTTGTGTGTATGAACAAGCAGCGTTGTTGACTCCCTAACGAGAGTATGTTTTTCTCTTTTCTAACCTGGTCAGTGAACCCAGAAGATGCCAAAAGGATGCGAGAAACGGGCCTGCAGCTCATGCGCCGTGTGCTGGCTGTGCTGCAGATCTTTGCCGTCAGCCAGTTCGGCTGCGCCACAGGTCAGATCCCTCGCACCTTCTGGCAGAAGGACCAAGACAACAAGGACTTCTCCCCCTTAATTAAGAAACTGGAGGTGTCGGTGGAGCGGGTGAGGCAGCTCGCCTTGAAACACCAACAGGCGGAGCAGGTTGTCTGCTCTGAGCTGCAGGACGCTCCCCTGGGAGGCAGAGACGAGCTGACTCTGGCTGTGCGCAGGGAGCTGACGGTCGCTCTGCGGGACTTGATGGCTCACGGGCTCTACGCCTCTTCCCCTGGCATGAGCCTGGTGTTGGCACCCATTGCGTGCTTGATCCCTGCGTTCACCCCCTCGCCGCGGACCATGCACCCCTGGGAGCTCTTTGTCAAGTATTACAATGCTAAGAACGGACAAGCCTTCGTGGAATCCCCGGCTCGCAAGCTCTCCCAGTCCTTCGCCTTGCCTGTGACAGGAGCAGTGGCCACCACCCCCAAGCAGAGCCTGCTGGCTGCCATCCACACGGTGCTCACGGAGCACGGCCCCTTCAAGCGCAGCGCGGACTCAGAGCTGAAGGCGCTGGTGTGCATGGCACTGAACGAGCAGCGCCTGGTCTCCTGGCTCAACCTCATCTGCAAGTCTGGAGCTCTAGTGCAGTCCCACTACCAGCCCTGGAGCTACATGGCCAACACGGGTTTTGAGAGCGCACTCACCCTCCTCAGCCGCCTGAGCAACTTGAAGTTCAGTCTCCCGGTCGATCTGGCTGTTCGGCAGCTGAAAAACATCAAAGATGCTTTTTGATGTGTTTTTATTGTAGATCATCCATTTTCCACAAGTAGGCAGCTGTTGGGCTCAAGAAGCCTGGCTTTTGTAAGACCTAACTTTGTCTCTTTGATATTTGCTTTTAGGGAAGTCTTAGAGTGTCGTGATGCTGGAAGTGTGTGTTGTCCAAGGTTGTCCCTGCAGAGCTGCTGGAGGCTGTGAGATGGGCAGCACCTCCTTACCCCAGCCCTGCTGCTCTCAGGGGCAAAACTGCCTTGCCCAGGTGCCAGTGAGTGTTGGGGTGGGGGGCAGAGGGGACCTGCAGCTAAGCTCCTGTGTGGTTATTTCTCACCGTCTGTGCTCCACATGATGTACCCACGAGACCCCTCATGGAGGAGCGAGGCTGGCAGGTGTTGAGGCACCTCGGGGACTGCCCAGTCACACGGGACTTGCCCTCTCCAAGGTGGATGTAGAAGACAGAGGCAGATACACAGGTGCCCTGGGGCTCCAGGGTCTCCTCCAGCAGCTCCGCAACCCGCGTCTCTCGGGCTGCCAGGCTGCTTTGTCCAACGGTCCGAGCAAATTGTTCCAGGCTTTTGTGCAAGGGCCAGCACGGCCCGGTGTCTCGCGGGGTGTATTAAATAGCGCTGTAGTGCGTGTGGGCCGAGCCCGCCACCGTGCCGTGTGCTGTGTCCGTTACCGGCTCCGTTACGCGGCCCCCGCCGTGCCCGGGATGGGGGGCGGAGACACACCCGGCCCCGCCGTGCCCGGTGCCGGCAGCGGCTCCCGGTGTCGCGGCGGAAGTGACGCGCGATCGCACCGTGAAGGGGCGGGGCGCGGCCGCAGCTTCCTCTTCCGGCCTGGGCGCCATCGCGGCGGAGCCTCGGTGAGTGGGGGCCGGGCGCGGGATCCGTCGCCATCCGCGGGTGCGGCGGGCGGGGCGCCCCGCGGGCTCGGCCTGACTGCCGGCTGCTGTGTCCGCAGAGATGGGGAAGTTCATGAAACCGGGGAAGGTGGTGCTGGTGCTGGCCGGCCGCTACTCGGGGCGCAAGGCCGTCATCGTCAAGGTGAGCGCGGGGCTGATCCGGCGGGGCCGCTCCGGGCGCGGCTCCGCGCGGTCGTGCCGGGCGAGCGGGATCCGAGGGGGCGGCACGGGCGGGGTCCCCGCGGTGCCACCGCCGCTGCGGCCCGTGTGTTTCAGAACATCGACGATGGCACCTCGGACCGCCCGTACAGCCACGCTTTGGTGGCCGGCATCGACCGCTACCCGCGCAAGGTGACGGCTGCCATGGGCAAGAAGAAGATTGCGAAGAGGTCCAAGATCAAGTCCTTCGTGAAGGTTTACAACTACAACCATCTGATGCCCACCCGGTGAGTGCGGCCCCGACAGCGCTGTTGCCGGCAGTGTCGGCTGGAGGAGTCTCGGCTGCATCTGGAGATCGCGGTTCTTGTGTGCTCTAGTGAACACCCAGAGTCACTGGGGCTGCTAATGTCGTGGCTGAGTGAACAGGCTCGGGCTCTGCAAAAGCAGGGAGTTGGGGGTCTGAGGTTGAGGGGA